ATATATATATATATATATATATATATATATATATATATATATATATATAGTACAATCTGCAGACATGCATGTTTCGGCGTTCAACGCCTCGTCAGTGCAGCTTGGTACACGTCTAGATACGTGAGACACTCGTATTAATACCCCATGAACTTGCTCTCACCAAGGCATGTGGTACAACACGGTGACTCAACGCATCCAGACATGCGCAGAACGTAATGGAGCCAGAGTGCTCGAACGACCACAAGGGAAGTGAGCTTTGCATTATCGCTAATAGACATCCATTAACAACTCCGCAGAGTGCTCAATATTTATATATACGTACCCTGTGTTCCAGTCCACTACAAACATGCTACTAATTACGTACATTTCAATGTTATGGTACGTATTATTATGAAGTCCTGAACAGTTGCAAGTTGAAAACTTGTAATTATGTTGTTTAATGAATGTAAAGACTTGTTCGCTATCCTGGCTTCGTAGAACCAGGCCTTAATTGTACTGTCAAATGAAGACAGTGAAAATGTCTCAAAACTATTTGCGACTGTCATTCTTCAGTCGACTTTTTGGCATTTGATATATCACTATGTCGATTTAATACTTGTTGGCGGGATAATTGTGTTCCTATTTCACTAGTTTTATCGTGTGCCTAGCCTATTTCACTAGTTTCACCGATAAAGATTAAAATTGTAAATTACGCATTTCGGATAGCTTCAAGTCTTCGTTCTAATTCTTCTTTCTCTCTCAAAAGGTCTTCAGTCTTCCTCTCATTTCTTTCCAATCTGTTTTCAAGTGTCTGCATTAATGGTCCACACATGACTTCGATAACATGACACAATGATTTTGTGAAAACTATAAGGAACAACAATTTTCTTATAATTTGACAATATATTAACAACATTTTAATAATAAAATAATAAAAATAAATAATAATAATAAATTTATAATAATGATAATAAATCTAATAATAATAATAATAATAATAAAGAATAATTTTTATTATATACACAAGGTCTGGATCTGAGGTATTCTGCAATCTGATTGGTTCTCTACTAGCAGGATATTAACTCATATCCTGTTGTAGAGAAAAACAAAATGGCGACTCAAACTGAATTTCCGACGTTTTGCGAACGAGAAAGCGGCAAGTTGTTCGCTTTTTATAGCCTTTACAGGATTAAAAACACAATGAAAAAACACCCACAAATTGTTTACAGGTTAGCAAATGAATTTTAAAAATTTTAAATGGTTAAAAATAGATAATATTTCAGACTAACTTTGTGTACAACAAGTCTGTGAATTCAGACCTTGTGAAAATAATAAAACAGTTATCCCACTCACTCTCATACTCGACTCGAGTTCGTAGAATAACTGTTAAATATCCCCTTTCCCTGCAAATCTCAGTCCATAAAGGTATTCCTGGTTGTAAATTCATTGTTTCAACTTTGTTATACAGTCAATCAGCAATCATCAAAATAACAATAATTGATAATCAAGCTGGCCCATGTGACCAAGTGTAGCCGGTGATTGCGCGGACGTTTATGCATGTGATAGATGTACAATAAGCGACAAGTAACCTTGTTTCAAACTATCGTAGCACTTAAACAAATTCTCAATATCAACTGAATTTATGCTTGATTATGCCTGGGAATATTTAGTAGAGAGCTTTAGCAGCTACTACGAGATTCATTTTTGCGCGAACGCAGGTTGTATGCTTACGCCATCCCATATTGACGGGAAAAAGTCGTAGCCGTCGCCCATCTGAACACGTCACCCATCTGACTTTGCACTTGTCTTACCAAACGAGAGAATCGTTGCACGTGTTGCCACTTCTCTTGCGCCGGCAACGCGATTAAATTTGACCCGTTGCGTTGCCCGCGCGAGAAAAAAATCGCACGTGTAATCCTAGCTTAGAGCGGTTTGAATGTTGTTAGCCTTTCTTCAGTACCAACATTAGGTATCAATAATGCACAGTCCCTATAGCCGTATTTTCACCAACAAAAAGTCACCATTGGATCGGCCGAAACCCACCTGCTCCGTTGTGCACGGTAGTCAAAAGATTATTTTTCCGTCTGAGGTTACTAAAAAAAACATAAAACAAAATGTTGAGTAAAATTGCTGTAAACACCAAAACTAATTGATTTTGATTACGATTTTGATTACGATTATGATTACGATTACGATTATGATTATGATGATCATGATGATCATGATGATCATGATGATCATGATGATCATGATTATTATTATTATTACTATTACTATTACTATTACTATTACTATTGCTATTACTATTATTATTATTATATAATATTAGATACTCCCAATTGGGCTTTTCAGGATCTAATTACAAATATGAAATTCTATATCTAAAATATCTAAAAACTAATTTTGAGTTTTACTACTTTCAGTTAAGAATTCTTCTAATAACATACGTTTGTATTCTATTTTAAAATGAGTCAAACTATCAATGTTTTTAAGAGACTGTGACAGAGAATTCCACAAGGACACAGCCCCATTATGAAATGTTCGTTGACCCGCAGCTGACCTGTACATTGGAATATCCAAAATGTTCTTTTGCCTTGCATTAACGTCATGAACATCTGACCTGACATGAAACTTCTCACACAAATACGATGGTGCCAACCTCTTCAAGCATTTGCATGGCTTTTCTTAGTTTTAACATATATTTGACTGGAAGACAACCCAGTTGTTGCAGAACAGGAGTCATGTGATCGTATTTTCTTGTTCCGGTGACAATAAGTGCAGCAAAGTTCTGGACCGCTTGAAGCTTTTCAATATTTCTTTGGGATGTTTTAAACCAGAAAGCAGAGCAGTAATACATTTTACTAAAAATTAGGGAGTTCATAATAAGAATTAATGTTTTTCTGTCAAAGATATGTTTAACTCTGTTTATTATATACATGACAACATTACTGCAATCTGATTGGTTAAGAGGAGTGCAATTATTTCATTAATTGCACTCTCCAGGAGTGCAATTAATGATTTTCCTGATGGCTGGGGGGAGCGGGAAATCAAAACAACAAAATCCAATATGGCGGCGAAATTTAGATAAGTATTTCTAACAAATGTGGACGAATTTAACTGAATTTTGGCACAAGAATGAGTTTAAGAAACATTGTATGGCAAAAAGAGCCTGTGGAAAATACCAGAAAACAGTCTTAAGAAATAATCTTGGCGGGATGCAGCGAAACGTGACTATGTAAGTTTGAAATATAATTTATAAAGATTTTCTTAGTCTAAAATATGTTGTTTGAGTTTGAATCTTGTGTTCTAGTTTAAGTTATGTGCCTTTATGAGTTTATAATCATTTCCCAAGTTTGTTTATACCAAATTGCTTACAAAAGAATTAAAAACTCCTGACAAAATGCAGTTGATATATAAAGAAAGCGATTTTGTCATGCATATAATAAATAAATAATCACACGGGCAAGTCGTGCAATTAATGATTAACATTACTCGTGATATTTGAAAAATGTGCCAAATTGCACTCGCCTCGGCGCTCGTGCAATTTTGGCACATTTTTCAAATATCACTCGTAGTGTTAATCATTAAATGCACTCCTTCCCGTGTGATTACCTATACTAATTCGGCCCAATCCCGCGATACAAGATGAAACAACGCTTGCGATATGCCCGTCGTAGCTCAAACATGAGTCCGATATCATCCCTATAAATCCTTTGCAACAGCAAGCATGGGGTAATAATCTCACCAAGGATAGTTATAGGAAAATTTCCATACCTAGTACCGAATATGAGCATCTTAGTTTTTTCTGGATTCACCACCAAACTGTTAAGACAGCAGCAGGCGGTAATTCTTCGCATGTCTTCTGCGAGTTTCATAGCTGCCCACTCGGCATCCCTGCATGATTGAAAATGCTAAATATATTTTTGAGTCATCCACCGACTCCAAATTGGACTCCTTTGGTACACCAGGCAAATAGTTTATTAAATAACATCGGTCCTATTGTCGATCCCTGCGGAACACCGCGAGTTATTTCACATTCATCGGATCGCACTGACACAATACGTACCGATTGACTCCTGCCTGTCAAATAGCTTTTAAACCAAACTAACGCATGCAGTCTTCGAGATTCCAACATAATGCAACATTCGAAAGTTTTCTTAGCAGAATGGAATGATCTATAAGCTATCAAAAGCTTTAGACAAATCCAGTAAGAGTAAATCAGTCACTTCTCTACAATCCATAATTAAATCTGAGATGAACATGTTTAATGTTTCGGTTGAATGTGACTTCCTATTTCCACTTTGATGTTTAGTAATATGCTCTTTAATACCACGCGTTCACAGATCTGAGATGCAGCCACTAACGACACAGGCCGATTATTGTTGGGAATTTCATAATCCCACCTTCCTTCAGAAGTGCGATAACCTCTGCTTTCGTCCAAGCTGTTGGAAAAACACCTGTCTTCTCCAGGGAGCAATTAACAATTTGCGTAAGTGTAAGAAGGATGCACGGTAAGGCGTCCTTGATCACAACCATTGCATGATAGTTTGTCAAATCTTGATGCCTTAGTTGATGAAAAGGACATAACAATCCTACTTGTTTCACTACACGATACTGAATGGAAATAAAACTGACCGATCTCAGGTATTTTGGTAGATGTTGGTGGATTCAGTATAGGTATAGTCCATGTGCAGTCACCAATGCCATTGCAGTTGCTGATGTATTTATTCCCACTGAGGTAAAAAATTAAGTTATTAAATTCATGAGCCAATTTCTTAACATCTCCGGAATTACTTGGTTTCGTAGTCTCTTTACGAGGAACCAACTTGGTTTCGTAGTGTATTTACGAGGAACGCAGTTCCTGATGACTTTCCACATCGATTTGACAGCTTTACAGTATTTCTTACCGATTAGGAGGATTACTGTCAGTTTGCCAGTGAAACACGGCGTAATTGGCCCGAAAAAGAATAATATAGTTGTACTCGTAATGAAATCAACAGCGCTCTATTAAAACTTGAGAAAGCGCTGTACACTGTAGCCTCCTCCGCATGCAAGCATCTCTATGGGTGTCAAAAACGTTTTCCTGATCCCCCCTAGACTAAGAGATACCTGCGGAGGCTGTACCATTTCACAATAACGTTTTTGTGTTTCAATCATTGTAGTTTTGCCGGAGGATTTAGTATAGGTGCTGTATATAGTTAAGTAGGTTTATGCATGTTTATGAGTATGTTTATACTATTTGTTTTTGGTCAATTTACCTGAGTGTTTTTTGAAACACTTCTTCTTCTTCCTATAATAAAAAACAACATTAATTCATGGGGTGCACAAACATTGACCCGAATTTCCATGCACAACCTATACGTGCATCCCTATCCCAAGCCTACTCGCTGAGTGCAAACGAGAAAGCGTTTATTACCGGCTAAGAAAATACCGAAAAGTAAGTTGAAAACAAGACGCTAGCCGATTTTTCCCCCACATACTTTGAGTTGTTTTATCTATCCCATTAAAGCTAAACAAGCGTAGTACAACCAGATATATATCTACCTGTCCCAAAATATCGGGAAGTTGTTCCAATGCTTCAAGACAAGCATCACTAATGGCCTCATTCGGAACTATCTCCACAGGAACTTCAACTCGGTTGTATCTAGATTTTAATTCAAAATACCAGTGCATTTGAAGGGACATTATTTAAATATAAATTTATGACTGCTCCTGAAGGAGTAATTACAATTATAGTTATTACTCGTGCTCAGACCTCATGGTCACGAACCTACATGGAATGTAGCGTTTTCCAGTCGGTAAATGTAGCGTTTTCCAGTCAATAGCGTTTTCCAGTCGGTAAATTATTGGAATCAGTAATCACCTATAAGCGATTTTCGAAATGGCAGCCAAAGCCGTTTTGTCAATTAAATGACGAAGAAATGTGTATTTTTTTCCAAATAATCACCTATGAAATTATACTAAAACAATTATTCACCTCAGGCTCGGTGATTATCGTGAATAAAAACATCGACATCGTCTCGGTTTTTATTCACCGATAATCACCTCGCCTTCGGCGAATCATTGTTAAATAAAGCCTTATATAAATTATAGTCTTATATAATTATATATTATTCCTAGGACTTAAACTAATATATACCTGTATATATAAAAAATATCTGGAAAATGTAACAAACATCTTGACTACGTTTCTGATGATGGATTTCCTAGATATTTTTATTATTTGACTCATATTTTATACATCGTACCGTAGAATCCCGAAAGTAGCGGCCCCGCTTACTTACGGTTTTACAGTATCCGCCGCTTAATCTCAAACAGTGGCGAAGGGTCGTTACTTATACGTTGTCCGCCAGGTTTTATTCTTGATGGGGGGGTCAACTTTTCTTCCGGGAGGGGGAGCTACTTTCGGGATTCTATAGTATTATCTAGTTGTATCTATAAACGATAGTGTTTACCATAGTAACTAGAAATACATGCATGCATCAACCCCTCGCCTTTATTTTCCTAAACAATTTTTTAACATGAAGTATTCTAAATTACGCCACCAATGTACGCAGGCGCGCGTTGCTCACGTCATGTTAGCCATGGCAACACGAATTGTTTAATTGTTTTTAATTTTTCATTTTTTGAGCAAAACAGCAAAAAATTATTAATGAAGTTTAATTCTTTTAACTCTCGAAGTTTGACTCGAACTATCAATTTCTAAAATATATGATGATTTAACGATCCATCTTTAGTTTAACCCATTGAGTGGCAGCACTCTCCCTCTGAAGAGTAATATCGTCTGGCGTTAGACAGAGTAAAATAATAAAGTAGGGCGTATCAGGGCGCATTGCCACTTAAAGGGTTAAAAATGCAATGGACTTACTACAATGTCAAATTGCATGCAATTACATTACAACTATCAGAAACTTATATATGAACAATTTTGTAAAATATTAGATAATATCTAGAAATTTGTAATAAATTATAAAAGGTTCGTAAAGCTAATTTAAATTTCGTGCAGCATAGGTATGTTAAAGTAAAGGTAAAGTAGGTATATTATTTCTCACTCTATAAGCTTGAATTTAAGGTAATATTCAACCTTGAACGCTTCACGAAATGTTCATTTAACTTTATATTACATACATGTATGCTTTTTGCCGATTAACTATTTAACAAAGTTGCAACGACATCAGTTCAATCATACAGTTCGCTCCTGGAAATAATTTTGAAAGACTTTTCCATATCACATATGTTTTCATTCTTTTCACTACTTGGCAGTTGGCTCTTTCCACCCCTGCAGGCCGCCATATTTTGAGATCAGTGTCAGTGAGATAACCACCCACTATGCCACTTTTGAAACCGCTAGCAGCCTTCATTTTCCCGGGAGTAAATAGCTGTGCGAAATTAGTACCCTCATGCAACCCGGGCTTACCCTATACAACGGCGGTCCGCGCCGGGGATAATAGATACAGGTATCTACTATTTCTACGAGACAGCATTACTTACTCGCCTGAGATATTTACTTGTGACTGGAAACAAGTCAATTGTATCTGACCACTCTAAAAGATAGAGAAAGTGGTGTTTATCTGTCCATAAAATGGAAGTGAAATGATTATTTTAAGTAGGATGGCGATGAGGATAGGGATGATGATGACCAAAGACAACGTAAATTATTTTGTTCCTACGCATGGATCATACACACATGCATAATTAGGGTATAAAGTTCGCCAAACATTACAACCTTCCCTACGGCTACAGATGTTTGAACACTGCAGCTTTTTTTTAAATCATGACTCCTCCACGACCTCGAAAAGAACCGTTGACTCGAGAAGAATACAGAATTCAGTTCGTGCGAACATTTTCACTATGTCTATAGTAAGTGGGCCATGCATGCACTGTATTGCTTTATTTTCATTTGACTTGTTGTTTATACTTGAAACCACACAGCACAAATGATGGTAAAAAAATATATTAAACATTTTAGATATCTGAAGATTGCATTCGAAAGCAATTCATGCAGATAATGCATACAGAGTTGTTTGGCGTGTCTGTCGTGCTGATGCAGTGATGTGGAGATTGCAGAAAACCAAATCGCATTACTAGACTATCGCAAGACTATATATAGATTAAGACGACGACCTATCCAAGATAATTGGCGTGCAATTCTTCACTTCTTTGATCTCGTGTCGAAAGCCTACAACTAAATTATTCTACAGCAAAAAAACCCCATTAAATCAGAACAAAATATATAGAAATGATGATGACGATACTTACCGTCGAAGCTGTATCATCGTTAAAGCATGAGAAAATCAAGCCAACAAAACCTGGATCCATTATTTGATACATAGCCTGTGTCTGGACGTCTGCATATTAAAATAAATTTGAAATTCGCCACAGACTGTAAAAAACACTTTAAGACAGTGGCTCGATAGAAGAAACGTCTTTACATTCGATAATTAGATATTTTTGACCCGATTATGCACATTTATTTCAAATAAATTCAAACTTACAAATTCTTGATTTACGATCAATGTCTTTCGTACGGCCCATGAAACGTGCCAAAATGTTAGCTCATCGACGTTGTTTTCTCTCCCTCCCCAAAACCGCAAATTGGCAAAGTGAATTACTGACTAGAATATTTCTTGTAATCATCTGGATAAAGACTCCCATGCATAGTTCGATTTTCGTTGCAAAAGTAGGGCATATTTGGTAAAATTTGTTTACATTCTCTCCTCTAACAAAAACCGCACCGCTAGGTATAGCCAATCAGATATGCAGCTTTTATTTAATGGAAACTATAGTATATTATGCATGCACGTATATATACTTACCAACATGAGACGGCCAAACAGTTATGTGTGGATGTGAATGATACCAGCCTAAAATTCTCATTGGACATTTCTTTGCTGTTAACATTCCTAACCTGTAGTTATCATTAAGGAAGTATCTGATCATTATATAATTATACAGCGGTATAGAAAAAGCTCATAACTAAAGTGTCCTGCTAAAACTTTTCCATGCATGCTTGTCTATCACTAGCTCTTTTCTTCATATTGCTATAGCTTGCAATGAACACATTTTTCTTCATCTGTCCCTTTTCCCAAGAAAATGACCTTTATGGCTGCTGTTAACAGGTCCTCATGCAGTCATGGTGACTTAGGTCATGGCAATATACATCTTTTGTTGTCCAATTATTCTTTGCAGTATAACAACCTTTTTCATTAATCATGCATCGTCAAAACGTCCTCACTTGTTATATGCTGTGTATAGCCGATTTTAAGCATTTTTTCCAGCACCACATTTCGAATGCCTGTATTCTCCTTAATATGTCCTCTTTTTGTCATAGTCCAGGTTTCATACGGAATACATTTCATAAACTTATTATTGTAAAAAAAGATGCGTCGCGACAGATCCATAGCAACAGACTGATGTCACCAGAAAAGTTTCGAATCTTTGATTTAATTAACATATATATATATATATATATATATATATATATATATATATATATATATATATATATATATATATATATATATATATATATATATATATATATATATATATATTCAATTATTTCCAGCCTACTGAAAAAAAATCCAGAACTTTCAAGGACCTTATCAGTTTCCAAGGACTTTCCAGGCCTGGATTTTTTTAACAAATTCAAGGACTTTCCAGGATTTTCAAGGACCGTCATGGGACCCTGTTTTAAACTTCTGTAGAATATACCTCACAATTTGTCGGCAAAATTAATACTATTTACATTACATAACCTAGCTCTGTTCCAGACGTTTTGTTGCACGTAGAAGTAAAAATTGTGTGATGTAATGGCCTTCAGTAACACAAAAAGGATATTTCTGCTTGTGTTGAAGCGTAAGATAATTGTTCTGGTGATATTTCAACTCGATCTTTCCTTTTGTCGGATCGACGTAGCATAAATACAGTGAACACATGAGAAACATTAAATTCATCAACCTACAGGTGAATCAATGAAATCTGACTACATGTATACATTATGTGAAGCAGTTTACCTTAGAGAAATGCTAACCATTGATAGTATTTGAACCCCAGCAAGTAACAAATTAAAGTGGTCATTGTTAAGTAACAGTAACAGAACTTTCAACAATGCGCGCGTCGCTTTTGATAATTTTACGCTATTTCAACCATAATTCAACACATTTACATGCAAGGCCGCACAAAAAGCCTGGAATGAGGTTGTAATTTGTAAAAGTCTCATTTATTTCTATTGTACCTCATCCTTTAACTCCTTTAATGAGAAAAATTATGTCTCCACCCTTCTCCCCCTTTAATGGCACATGCACTAAATCAGCTAGATTTGAGATTAGATTTTTTTCTGGTTGTATCCAAACTGGTTGTAATCCAAATTCTCAAAATATGAATGCATTATTTCTGACTTATAATTGTAACTCTTGTAGTAAACAATGACGTAACAGTGACATTCTAGAACATTACCTTATATGGCATGCAAGGAAGAATAATATATATATAGTAAGAAAGACACGAGTTGTAGAGACAGAGATGTAGCGAAGATTGTCATGGTTGAGAATCAATAAATACTAACTAAATATTATTACAAAGAATATTATTACATTGGCGACGAGCATATGGTCGATCAGGCTGAACAACAACCACAATTTCATGTGAATACACAGTCAGTGTCAATTCAACCTTTACCCGAATTTTCGCCAGACGCGGAAATTGGTTCAAGTTTGGCTGGCAAATGGAAACTTTGGATGTAAGATTTCGAAATGTTTATATTGGCTAGTGGCATAACCGATCCGAAGCGAAAACGTGCTTTACTCCTTTACCAAGCAGGACAACTGAAATATCAATTTTGTCCTCCTTCCTCCTCTCTAAGCTTTAAATTCAAACAAAGTTATTTTTTCTCAACCAGGTCTATGCTTTATAGCCTGGTTACTTTCGAAAACGACGTACAGCATGTAGTATTTTGTAAAACTGATTTAGTTATTTGCCATCTTAAATCTTGTTGAACAATGAAAGTAGTAATACATTATAATTTGTGTTGTTATCTAATCAATATACACTAGTTAATTTGGATGACTTTAAGACTCCCTAGATTGCCCCCGCCCTACAGCCGCCTACTTTACCAAAACAAACATATACTCAGAATAATTCTGAAAGCCCTGCAACTTGCCCTGTGGGGGAAACCAGAGCAGCCGGAAAAACCAGGGCTGCAAAATTACCACTGAAAAAGGAATTAATTCCAATTACAATTACTTGCTTTAAAATGTAATAAATTCCTGATTGCAATTACTTGTTCTAAAATGTAATTAAGTACAATGAAAAAATTACTGCGGAAAAAAGGAATTAATTACAAATTTCTTTACCGGCAAATTGTTACTATATATA